TGTTGCCGGAACCGTTTGCGTGGTAGATATAGGGTCAAGGATGCACCCCAGTAATAGATGTTATAGAGATATCTTCTTTACTATCATGTCATCAGTTCCTTATCTGGGCAAAGACTACAAGATGGGCTGTTCAGATGTTAGAATCTGACATATTTCTGATTGCCTGCGGGCGGTTTGGTGGCAGGTTCGTACAACCACGAAATCCACCAGCTTCACCAGCGACCCTCCGCCGGTCAGGCTTTTGGTCTCTTTCCAAACGCAACAGTGAGCAATATTGGCTGTATACTGCTGTGTTTTAATGGGAACAATTTGTTCATTACTCACTGATGCGGTTTCGCGGCAGTTCAAGATTTCGGGTGAAATGATTTCTAAGTTAAAACTCAATTTGGAAATATTTTGAATTGTAGAAGTTTTAATTCTAAATCATGCGATAAAGCCTTCAAACCACAGCATATATCAACGTCAATTGTTTCTTTGTCCTTGGTGAAACGTAGGATCTCTCTTTTTCTCTTCAACAAATGAAGTATTATTACCTCAACTCTAAGCTCTCACAAGGTTACCCACTACTGTAATGCAAGAGCTCGCCGCTGTATTTCAAGCAGGTTTGAATCTGCTCGGAAGTTCAAGCGGTTGGCCTGTTACATTGTCTAAATATTAGTCACCAAAGGGGAGGAGATTATCACTAAACGGAATTTTCACTTGATGCTATGAGGACGATAAAGGAGAAAACACAACACGAAGTTACCAGTGGTGGAAATATTCCGATACCGATGTCGATGAAAGTTATCCACTGTTTCCTGTAATGCTATGCATTACCCTCTTTCATCATGGCGGTATGTTCTGGCCGTGATAAGCAACGTGCTGGGGCGTAAATAATAATAACGCTTGTGAGATGAACTTTCAACAATGGAGTCCTGAAAATATGATATTATGTCCTGATTCCGCAAACGAACAACTATTGCGTGTGTTGAGGGAAATACAGTACACCCTGGATTTATAATGCCACCCGAACATCCAGGGGAAAATATGGTGCATTATATCCAAGGTGGCATTATAACCAGGCAGGTACAGTTAAGAGGCCCTGTGCAACTTCAACAAGGTGATTGAGCTGATGTCTCCTGTAATGAAGTTTTCTTGAATGACTGGATAATCCCAGCGTGCTGCGGGGAGTTGCAGGTGACTTGTTATCCTTAATCAATTAAACAATTATGGCGCATAGTACGTGCCGGTAAATAAATTGGCATTGGCAACCCAGGGGAAAATGACTTTTTGTTCCAAAATGACCAATGGCAAATGGCGTTCGCAATCCCGGTTGTAAGGTAGTCAGGAAATCCGTTCTGCCAAAACATATGGCATTATATCCAGGGTGCCATCTGCATATGGAAACGCTTGCGTCCAGAAATGCTTTGATCATTTGGATATGTTTGGTTATTAATGTCTCCAGCAAGCTCTTGTGGAGGATACAATTCAAAATCTTCAAACCATCGGTATTTCGACCATTTTAATACTTCAATACTCACAGCAGCTAAGCCCGAAATACGGTGCATGCCGCGCAAATGCAATCTTCTTCACGGCTTACATCCGCTTAATTTTGTAGTCTTAGTGGAGGCAAACTAGCATTCCGGTTTATAAGACCTAACATGACACGATCCAAGCGAGCCGCCGAAGGCTGTTGTCCCAACCTTTTTTCAGTGAAGGTCTGGAACTTGCGACATTAAGCGCATCAGAATAGCATCACCTTTCTAGTTGGTTATTTGATCTGGTGTTCAGTTTGAGTTTTCAGTAAGCTAACATCAGAGAAAAAGATTCGTTTGAAGTTGCAAGGGCTGTCTGAAAAACACATATCTCTTTGCCTCATATGAAGATATTCAGTTCAAATGCGTCATTCCCATAAATGGAAACTCGATATATCTAAACCATTAGGTTTTAAAAAGTGTAAAATGGGCGATAATGTTTCCAATCAGCCTTTTATGGGTCCCCGTGTCTGGAAACCGGTATTAAAATCAGTAACAAATGTGTGCAACGTAGATATGTAAACACCCATGTCGTCATGCTCTCTGCAAGGTTATTGATATGTGTTAATGAAGGTAGAAAACAAACGCAAAATATCGACAAGAAGCTGAGGGTGATATCAAAGCACCGAAATGGTTTTTAAAAAATATATATATTATCGACGTTGGGGCCGTATTTCTAGGTTTCCATGGATACTTCAGAATTGTTTGAAAAATTTGTAAACCACGATAGATCGATATAAAATTTAATCGTGTTAAATTCGCGTCATGTGTAAAAGAATCTCACGTGTTCTTACCAACATGTTTGCAGGAATTGCTAGAAGTGTGTATAATGCATTCCAGCGAATTCAATATATGGAGATGGATCAAAATGTATTGGTAAAACCACAGGTACATCCAAATCAACAATACGTTTTCAAACACCAGATTAGAATTGGGTTTGCATTGAATAAACTCTTTATTGTTGGTCTTTTTCATCACCAGCGTCAGCAATAATATCTTATTCGTGTTGATGGTTCTTACTATCCAAATACAGGCAGATCATTTTGTTACCAGTGTCGGTCAATCCACGCCGTACGGTGATGATGTCGTGGGTCATGTATACTGAATCTTAGATTTCCTTTCTGTCCATAGAAGTCGGAAACAGGTGGTGGACTTCAGTCTTAGCACAGCTTCTCCACGGAGTCTAAACCACCTAAAACCTAAAGATCATGCCTTGAGGTGTGGAAAGGTCACAATACTTTAATGTTTGAATCTTATCCATTATCCATTACAAAGCAGAGTAGAGTGTGTTTAACGTTTTATGCCGCACTCAGCAATATTCCAGCTATATGGCGGCGGTCTGTGCGGCAATCGAGTCTGGATATTGATAATCTCAGTGATCATCAGCATGGCATCGATCTACGTGAACTGGGATACAATGACATGTATCAACCAGGTCAGCGAGGCCTGACCACGGATCCCGTTAGTCGCCTTTATGACAAGCATGGGTTACTGTGAAGGTCAATTCTAACCTGGATCTGCACGGGTCATTATAAAGACATCTGTGGAATCAAAGGGGAAGTCAAATCGAGTCACATCCCTAGGCGTCTCACTTCTCCGTATGTTCGGCAAATTGTTAAAATACTATCGCTTTTTTCAACATTGAAGAGTTTAATCTGGTGTAAAGCTAAGACACTTCATTCACTATAAAGAGAGCATATCTGCTGAATGGGTGAATGAACATGGATGTGATTCAGAACCGTTTCTTCGAAAAAGTTCATCAAGACGTGGTGATTGTACGATGCATCGGCCGGTTCCTGCAGTTGAACGTGTCCTCGTCTACAGCTTTGTGCGGAAGGAAAATCCATACGATGCACCTGATGAGTCAATATTTCTTTTTAGAACGCTTTTAAGTTAAGGGGTATCTTCAAGGACGTGCATGTGATTATAATGCAGTTTGGACATGCCCTATCACTAAACTTATATCATATAGATTATGTGCGCGCGCGATGCGTGTGTGCGTGATATGTGCGTCCGAACATGGAAGGATATACCTTCTTTTTGTCTGAATTACACCTTTCAACCAACTTAAGCTGTGTTTACTATGGTCAGCGACCAGCTTTGCTACTTGCAGTACCTATTTAGTAGCCGGCTGACTACCATATTGCTTCTCACACAAAGTAATTGCGTTATATC